ACATTAACTGAACTTCTTAAGCCATCTTGTAATACCGATAAACAGTGGGGGTTGTTTCTGGTTCATGTCTTTGGCCGCGGTGTGCCATTTACGTTCCCAGAATGTATTAGTTCATATCGGAAAATATACTTAAGTCATCCACACTTTGCAGCTTTGGATAGACGATACATATCGCAGTCAACAGTTAATTGCTTTGGAAAGCCTGCTTGGCAGTCAGCTCATTGTCGGAATTGGTGAATTTCTTACAATGCAATTGGTTGGACGCGAAACTTAATCCAGATGTGAACAAATAAAGACCCCCGGTCGGGGCCTCGTAGCTAAGGTGGTAAGAGCGTTGGTTGTACTGGGTCCTTGCCCACGTTATGGTGGGTTCAAATCCCACCGAGCCGGCCTGGGTTTCTAAAAAACTGAGTCAGTTGATCAACCAGAAACTATCTGGTCAGACGTTATTCGTCATTCTGTTATCCTCAACAATTATTTATTGGCCAACCATTAATTTAGATCGAACTTGTTTTAGTTTGTACGTTCGAGGAACAACAAGCAAATTCCACGATCCATATCATGGAAATATGAAGTTACTCGAATAAAAAATTGTCGCTGTGACGAACTAGAATTGTCGATTTTAGAGTTCGTGTCGACCGCCGTATCGCCTGACACAAGGGATCGTCACCGGTTGTGCGAAGTGCGATCTTCCTTTACCCCTGACTTACGAAGGGAATCTGATGTCATCTGAACTCCGACTTTGTTGGGGGTGCGAAGTTAACATCCGAAGTGTGTAAGAGGGGAGATCGTGCAAATCAAACTTGTTGGAGTCTGTCCTTTAATGAATGACAGTTAGATTTTAATTACACAGTCCACGGAAATACAAACTCACAGACAAAAGACCTTCATCCCTTGAGAGACGGACTCAAAGGATATAATTGAAAACGGCGTCCGGTGAAACAGGTACTAGAGCAACCGATGCAAGACTAGGAGGTCAAGACTCCGAGTTCATCTCTGGACAAACCTATCCTGCGTCATCACAGCATAACTGTCACTCGCTTGGGTTGATAGTTTATCAGTTTCAGTTTCCAATTGAGACCAAGGGAAACCTGATGTTGTCTGTTATATCATCACATACAGTCAGTGACCGATCTCGTGAAATATCAGCCGGAATTATGGAATGCGTTCTCGATTAGGAAAGATGGCTTAAGTGTGGTTTAATATTATCTGGTGGCATAATCCTACAATATCCCAGACATGCCAGAGCGTTGGCTTTTGAATATATCACTTCTCGGCCGCCTGCAAAAACCGCACTGGGCAATAGATGGATACTTAATTAGTCTCCATTTTCTCTATCGATTTTGCGAGGCTATCATGAATTCCGACAAATTTTATAGGAAACCTCCATAAAATATTATTGTAGTAATTTGGTAGCAAATAACTTTTTCTCCTAGTTTTACACTAGAAGAGAGGACATATGTCGCCTTAAAAATGTTTTTTTATGAGGCTTTTTAAGACCCTGCAGCATTCATTCGAGTAGAATCGTATCTGTCTATCTAAAAATACTCTTCAATCCACATCAGTCTCAACATTCTACGCTTTCCATAGGGTGTTTTCTTAATGGCATGGAAACACGTATGTTTTCCCCACACAGTAATTTTGCAGCTTGTGGACGGAAACTCTTAGATGAAAATGCAACAGCAGATTGAATTAAAAATTATTCAGGAATTGGATAACTTTGAAAACCAAAGTGTGCGCTTCGAGTATAAAATTTGAAGACACGATTTGTCGACAAATAAGTACAAGACCTAATGTTTTTTATCAAGGTTTTCCTAAAGATATATTTAAATTTACAAGGACGTCGGAAATCGATGGCGAAAATGTATGCTACTCAAGTAGCCACTTTTACCGACTGCGGTTTTTGCAGGAGGCCGAGAAAGTGAATTCAAAGGCCAACACCATGGCGTGTCTGAGGTACCACGAGATTACATCGCAACGTAATCAGCATTACAGCCTCACGCAAGTAATCCGTCCCAGTCGAAAACTTACCTTAGAATTTCGGTTAAAATTTCATGACATTGGACTGTGCAGTCAGTCCACGATTTATTCAAAAACCTGTGTACTATCTGACAATCCATCTCGTTATTGAGTGTTCATTACTTGACAGTGTGAAACATCTCAGCTAATATTAGTAAGATAGTGGTACAGTTGCTTTAAAAATGTGGAACTAGAAACTTCACATCAATTTCTATAACATTCTGCTCTGGGCTGGCTTTGCGGTCCGGAATCGGTAGTTTCCGCCCTCTATGCCATTTCCTGCACACATCCCTAGTAGGCAAACGGATGCCCGTCAGAAAACACCAAAAGACGCAGGCGCATTTCAAGTACGTTTTATATAAATGTCGTAATTAAAGAATTGAGCTACGCCGCAGGTCCGCAGCGCAAGCAAATACCCTGCCTACTGTTGCCTCGATCAATAAAAATAGGATCTGTGCTGATGTGTCGTCATTGCAATTAAAGTTGTTGTCAGCAGCAGTAGCTGTAATGTTAGCAAAAAATAATCCCAGCACTCGATGTGACGCTGACGCCTCACATTGGTTGGGCGTGCTCGGACCTTCGGACGTCCCGGTATTTGCTGGTATAGAGTGAGATTCCTTCGTTACCCCGTGTACTCACTGACTACATATATAACACGAAGTGCGGCCTTTCAAGAGGATGGTCTCTGATTTCTGAAGCCCCCTCGCATGGGAACTCGAGCAGGAAGTTGAAGAAAAGTGTCTGCCAAATGCCGCAGAGCTCCTCTAGAAGTCGGGGTCCACATCATAGAAGAGGTTGCCGGCGTTGGCCCGCTGCAATGCCCGAATCACCGCCCCAGAACGCTGGCGTTGAAGAAGGATCGCCTGACCGATTCGTCTGCGTTCCTTGCTCTCCTTTGCCCGCTGCTGGGCTTCGCGGTTCTTCCGCCGCAGCCACCTTCAAGGATCCGTTAAAAAGGATTTCATTGATCATTGGAATTTTTTGCGCGGAACCTTTTCTCAAAGTAACTATTAAGCAAACTGTAGTGGTTTCCGCCCAACCGACACCTTCTCAGATCAAGAAAAAGCTCCACATAGTCGAAAGTATCAACAGCTTTATGCCTCAGGCCGACTATTTAAAAATGACGTACTTTATATGTGCACTTTTTGCAAACATTTTGAACCAATGGCGCAACAGGGCAATTTTTCATGTCTCAAATTTAGATGTCTTTACAAATGCATAGTCATCAAGGATTCCCTTAGGGTTACTTAATGAGCTATGAAAGCAGAATTCTGAATACCACACCCTGACTTGGTCAACCTACTTGACACCTGAATCACTGGATTCCTAATAATTGCGACTTATTCCAATCCCTCCTGAATCCTTAATTTGTTTCAGGCCACTTCATTTTAAGAACCAATGAACCTGAGACGAAAACGCTTACAAAGGTGTTTAACTGTCTCATAGGTCCACAAAGCTGTAGTATTTTCAATGTCCCTCGAATCTCCCTTCTAAAGTCATTTTCCAACCGACCATACTTCAAGAAGGGGTCATCCATGGAGTTGAAAGGCATGCATTTTAGAGGAATTTCACGTATCTTCGACGGTTGTCGTGGCGAGGGCTGAGTGTTCTAACTTATTTCATTCACGTAGGCATGTCATAGTTGGGTTGCGGTCACGGTTAAGCTTACTAGAAAGGTTGGGGTTGAGGTTGGGTTTAGGGTTCGGGTAGGACTGAATACAAGAGCTAGGTAAAGGATTGGCGCTAGAGTTAGGGTTAAGTTTTTCCGCCGCATGCCATATTCCCCAATCCGGCATCATTAGCCAATACCCAGGGACCGCCTGTTTACGCGTTTTTAATTCGCACCTATGGAATTGCGCGGTCTGCTCCGACGCCTCATTAGGGTAATAAAACAAACATATGGCAGAAATGTGAGCGTTCGCATTGCCTTCCGTAGATTTTATCTGTCTCACTCATTAAATCCCTATGAACATTTTTATCGTATTATTAGAGTACCTGTGCTCCATTCGCTCGATGGGGCCACATACCCAATCCTCGCTGTCATTCTGTGCAACTAGATGTCAACGTTAAAAAACCATCTATTATATCACGCCATCTTCGACAGAAAGGAAAAACATTTGGGATGGAGTGTAGCACTCCAACTCAGATTTAAAGTCGACTGTTTGCGGTGGGAGCCCAAAAGGTGGACAAAGAACATAACCCTGAGATTGCAACATCTGGGTCCTCTTTCGTTGCCAAGGAATCAAGCAGTGGCAACGAACTCACGGGGAAGCCAATGGAGGACTTGCTCAACCGCCGTTTTTCTTGGAGGGCTTGGGACACTTTGCGAGACTGCCCTAGAGAATGAAATGTTTCATTCGTTACAAAATCTGTCTACTTAATGCGAGAGATCCTCCTTATACAGTGTTGGCGAAAAACATCCAGTTTTAGGTTTTCTTCCACTCACAGCCTAAAGTACCCAGGAGTACTAACCGAGTAAGCTGATATTCTGCATTAATTGGTGTGACGTACTCTTTAAAAGCCTGTTCACTGGCTTCTCTCGATCGGTTTTCTTGCATCTGGCGCTTCTCTTCTTCCTCGCGTTCCTTGAGAAGACGCTCCCAATTCCTCTGCATCTCCTTCTGATGAAGCCACGCCTGGAAGGACTCTTTTCTCCGCTTTTCCTCTTCGGCCTACAGATGGAGACAGTCAAGGGCAAAAAGTCGGCGTCTTTTAGAGAAGACATCTTAAAAATTAATGACCCACCCCAATTTCCCTTCACAGCCAGCCGCCAAAGTCCAAAATTTGGAGTCGCAAAAAGTTGCCCTCGCTCACATTGTTGGTCTGGAAAGATGCCCGTTCCCTGCACACACAATACGGTCTCGGAACTAGCACATTATTGGCTAAGACCCTTAAGCATGCTTTGAAATGGAAAATGCTTCTCAAGTGGAACTGTGATACTGAAAGACGTAGAGTGTTATGCCATTCACCTTAGCCCACACTTTAGTCCTGACACTGCAGTACGATCATAACCAACGACAACTATCAATATCTTCCGCAGAAACACAACTTATGCACTATGTATCAAACCCCGTAAAACGGTGACCAAAATTTGCCTATACGATTGCGAATAGAACAGCTTGTTCAAATTAAGTCGCAGTGAGGGTTAGCAGGCAGTATCATTTCAAACCAAACCCTGCACGATTGCATGCTGATCTCCGAATATGCACTCCATCAACCACTAAAACAAAACAATTATCAACTATTGCGTATTTTGTAGATGGACTTTTGATTTGGCAGGACTCCAGTATCATAAGGATCATAAGTGATGCTCATTTGCCAGGGAACTGCAAATTGAGAAAGAAATAGTTTGGCTTTTTGAAAGACTAATAATTGTGAACATTTTTTGCGACGCCTGCAACGATTGGACATATTAATGCGGCTCACCAGGCATGCAACAGAATTCAAGTCAACTGCAATATTACTCGAGCACCGGGGAGCCTCCTTATAGAGGAATGCAGGGTTATGGAAATTCGTCTTAGGCGAAATTCAGAGCGAGCAGTCGGATAACCTTAAGAGCCAGTGAATATGAGGATTAAATAACAAATTGTGTAAATAATAATAAGCGTTTTTTATACTAGACTCTCCCGCAGTCCAGCAAACATCAGATGAAAAGAGGACGTGATTTCACATAAAGTCATCGTGACTTGCATGTGAATTAGTTTATAGTAGAAGTGGACTTGCACAGCATATACCGCAATCTCTTCTCCTCCCCACCTGGGCCCGGTGTCAAGACATGGGCAGGAAGACCGGAGGTGGGTGAGGGCACAGGTGGCTGGCACGGCTGGACCCTCGCCTAGGCGTACCATCACACCCCCTGATTGCCGATACAAGCGAAAATGCGAGTTCCAGGAACTAGTTGATCAGAAGAAGAAGCGATCGCTGGAACAATGACTTTATTCGCCACCCTTTTCTGCAACTGTCTCTGATGATGGAATCAAGAGAGAATCCGAAACGTCAGGCGAATAAAGCCATTGTTCCAGCGATCGCTTCTTCTTCTGATTACACCCCCTGATCCACAATATACACTTGACTAGAATTTAACTAACAACAGGGCCACAACGGGTCAGAAAAAGGAGGCTGACTGGGCAACTATGCTCATGACCTGTATACCCAGCGGGGGCGCAAGTGCATCTGCCGCAGGCAGCCAGATGCTAGCGAACTGCCACCGCACACCGGGCTGCGAGGGTCATGATTTGCTGAATCATGGCAAAGCAGACGCTCACATTCCTTGAGGACTACTTCCACAGTAAGGGCTTACAAAGGACAGTTATTTGCATATAAAAAACGTGGAAGGAAATGTCTTTCTCAAAGAAGGAGACACGATAGCTGGAACAAAGGCTCCGTTAGCCTGACGTTTCGGATTCCCACACGAATCCAGCAACAGAGACGGAGTCAGAAAAGGGTATTAGATTGACCAGGTGTTGCAGTATTTATAGGATGTAATCATTAGGCCGCTATATGGCTATTATAGTTCTTAACTCCCAAGTGCATCACGAATTGACTGGCCAGGTGTTGAAGTATGCAGTTGCCATGCAGTTGATATTCGCCTGCATGCCGGTCAAGATTATCAGCTCCCACGCTCATCGCACGCAGTCGGGTTGCTAACTGCCGGATTTCGTTATCCGTGTGGACTCCTGCGCAGTTTGGCTCGCAGACATTTACACCAGAGACAATGGTTATCCGCACGCTCTCCTCGCGACTAATTATTTTGCCTAAGCAAAGTCTCAGCGCCGAATATGCAGAGGGAAGGTCGTAGCGCTTGTTGATTGATTGAGGTCAGGAAAACCATGACTCGAGTAGTTAGCGGTTCACGCGGTTGTCGCCTCTGGCAGGAATTTCTGCTTCAAACTTAGATGCGTGGTTGGGTCCCGTCAAACGAGCCGCGACTTGGGAGCTGGCGTCTTTACTCCTCACCGCTGCTCCGTGCTCAGTCATTCGCGTTTGGAGTAGTCTTCCAGTTTTTCCTACAAAGTTGCTTTGTCCGGAACTGCATCAGACCCGGTATACGACTCCAGATATTTCCTGCTGTGACAGTGGGTCTTTCGGTCTCATGATAGGGCGTTTTATGGTTGCCTCCGGTCTGTGTGCAACTCCAAGGGTCGTAAGAAGACGGCTGATGGCTTCCGAGACATTTTTTCACGTACTGGAGAGCTCGCTAAAATTTGGAGCTGGTTGGATTTCGTCTCTCGCCTCGTTTGCGCAGGCACTGGTTGACGGAGTTGTGCGGGTAGCAATTAGCTCTAAGCATCCGTCGAAGGTATTGTAATTCAACAGCCTCGTCTTTCGGTTCACTGCAGTGTCTCTACACGCTGGTATAGCGCTTTTACGCAACTGCGTTTGTGACTGATTGCGTGGTTGCTATTGAAGCTCAATACTTGCGTCGTGTTTTTCGCTTTCTTAAATACCATGGTTTTTAGGCCACCAAAATCTGCGGCAGAGGAGGACATGAAGACAAGATGCAAGGTAGACCGTCAACATTAGGAGATGAGGGAGCCGGGAGCAACTTGCGCGCGCACTTGTGCGTAGCGGAGTAATTGTGATTGGTAGGGCTAAGATCATGCCTGATCCAGCCAACTTCGATTATGTCCCGAACTGTACCTCTCTACGCGTAGCGATCCGCGACAGCAGACCTGGACGCTCCAACCCAATCTCTTCGCCAATGACTGGGATCGAATAGCGAAGGTTCGAGAACCACTTCCATGTCTTGACGAACTGTGTCGAGCCAGGTTTTGATTTGACCCCCTCTTCGATGCCTCCAATGGGGTAACGGTGCCGGATCGAGGGTAGCAACACTGAGCCCCTGAGGTGGGCGACGAAGAGCATGCCCAGACCACCTCAGTCGTCTTTCTTGGGTGGCCTTGCGATGCTGTTGCAGCGAGCGCGGACTGTCTCATTCAAGACGAAGTAGGTGTACTTTACTCGAAGGATGATCCTCAAACAGTAGTGATCAGATACCTCCAGTTTTCACTCATCCTCCATGCGAACAGCCCAGCATTCACAACCACAGAGAAGGACAGACCGGACAGATGCAGGGTAAACGCGAATCTCAGTGGCGTTAGAGAGGTCGCGTAGAACCCATAGGCAATTTCTAAGGCTTGAGAAGACCCGGCCGACAGCATCAATTCGGAAGATAATTTCGCCCTTACTCTACGCAGTCGACAGCAGCCTCGCTCCGAGGTATTTAAAACTGTCTATTTCTTCAAGTTGACAGACATGAATCCCAAGAGCTGCCTTCTTCTGGTCAGGTATGCAGCTTAAATACACATTTCTCTTCCCAACGTTTATGGATAAACTGACCGATTTAGTCACCTCGTCGTGACACCATAAACTGCATGTCACCAAAACTCGATACGGGTAAAGCGATATCATCGGCATGGTCGAGGTCAGTCAGTCGGTGTCCGGGTGCAAACTAGACACCGTCATCTTTGCGTGGGACCCTCCCGAGAATCCAGCCAATAGAGTAGCTGCATAAGCTGGAGAGGGATGAAACTCCTCTACAGAGGAAAGCAAGGGCGTGGAGGATTTAAAATCGGAGTTCAGATGGTACTGAAAATGTTCACACCAGCGCTAGACCTTGACTGAGTTGTCAGCAAAAAAGCCGCCATTCATACCGCGAAAAGTCATTCAGTGCAGAAAACTTACCATTAACTTGGCGGATAAGTTGATAGTTTTTGAGTGGCACCAACGTTCGAAGCTTGTCCCGTGGAGGTCGCTGTTTCAGCCCAATACTGCTTCCGGTCATCCCTGGCCGACTTTGCCGTCATCTTCCGAAGTTGTCGGAAGGAATCATCAGTACGGGACCTGGCTTGTGCCACCTGAGCAGACAAATGCTGAGTTCTCCCACTGATCCAGTCACTGCGGCGTCGCTAGGTATATGCAAAAATTTTCTCAACTGCCCCATAGATTAATGTTTTCAGTGACAACCACTTGTTACTGCCTTCTCTTTTGGTTCGGGTCGTAAAGCAGAGCCGGATTTTTCTGCTTAGGGCGTCGACAATACTGGGTTGTCGTACTGTTGCGACATCGAGGCGTCTAAGATGTGGCGTTTTCGGAACGGATGAGAGATGTACTTTCAAGCGTGTACGAACGAGGACACGTCCGACCGACCGAGGGGTGTGACCAGTCTCGACACCACGCGTCGACCTGCTATCGTGAACCCAGCTGCGGAACCTTGAGCTGACTAGAATGCAATCAACGTAGCTGGCCGTATGACTGTCATTTGAATACCAGGTCAGCAGATGTTTGTGCGATACTGGAAGCACGTGTTGGTGACAAGCAGTCGGTTCTGATCAGAGAAGTTCAGCAATCTCTCACCATTTTCACATCGAGAACCATGCACAAAGCGGCCAATAAGATGACCGTTTGTGGAGTCACCGGGTCCAGTCCGACCATTCCAATCCCCTGAAACAGTCGGCAGATCGTGAAGAGGGAGGTCTGTCCGAGCGAAACCAACTGGAAACGGAGTTGGGCGCACTGACTAGCGTGACGTGGAACTGTCGTCTAACACGTGCCAAATATGGGTCCGGACAACAAAACAATATAAGCATCATAAAGCCACGAAAATACACATGCAATTTAAGTAGCGACGTGCTAACAAGTCTGATCAGCACAAGTGGCTAAACGTTAACTTCGGAAAAGCAGCGCCTCTATTAATTTAATTACCTTGAAGAGCCTGCCCTTGTGAGTTAAACGCGTGGAGACATCGTAGATAGCTTATAGTTCGGAGTAAATTGCAATGGTACAAAAGTTTAATGAGGGATAAGAATGGTGAAGTAGCGGAACAATGGGATTGTTCGCCTGCGTTCAAGTTCATTAAGTGGGATGAAAAAAATTGTAAACGCAGGGGAACGACGGGGTGCTCGAGATACTTGGTGGCCAGCGACGACAGGCCTACACGAAATGGCCTCTTCAGTTGTTGGGTAGCCCTAGCTTCTCTTGCTGAAAGCAGTCAACATTGGCAGAAACGTGCCCCGAGTGCTCAGAGTGAGGCAAATTACGCTGTCAGTCGAAACTCTATTGACACTGTTGATTATAAAATTGTCGAAATTACGTTAGGTATAATCAAAGGCTGTACGAATAAAAGGGTGACCTACTGCCTTGATCTGTTCCTGTTCTGCATTATATCGGTCGATGGCCTTCTGTCGATATCTGCGTTCCATCTCCTCTCGCTCCTTTTGCAAAAGCCATTGCTTCAAAGTGAAAGCAACAGGATGATATCAGAAGACTAGAAGAATTATTTGCCACTCAAAGCAAATATTGTCGGAAAACGTACCACAGTAGTGTCCAAGCAGCCACTTTAAGCAGACGTTTCAAAAAATCACAAGGTGAAGAAAAACGGGAAAGCAAAAATTCATTTGCATATAAGACAAAAAAGAAATTTCCCCATCGGTTAAAAGTCTCAAATTCGTTTTCTCAGCCAAGGTTAATAGGATTCTAGGATTGTGATTCGATGCTACTTCGTGTAACAAGGCCCGCGAACCAGTTGATAAAGTAGCGCTGTTGGTTAAAATGCATGAAAAACAGTGGTTTAGCTTTCTGTATCATTATCCAAGTGACGAACCCCAGCCCCGCTGTATGGTAACGATCGGTAAACGGACGCCCTCTATCGAAAACAGCAACATTTGAGCAATAAGATTCTTTGCCCGTAACTGAACTTTGTCCTTCCAAGCCGACACAACCTTGGCGTCAAACGAGGATATCAAGCAAGGCCAACCGGTTGTCCTCTTCGTCCACCATCGCAAATTATATCTCCAGAACCACGGCATTGAAATGCAGAATCGCCTCAGATACCGGTGACGAAGTGTGGTCATTGACAACTCTAAGGTGGTTACTCAAACAATCTTCGCATCAAGTACGAACCTCGACAAGGAGTGCAGGAGTTGCTAATTGTATTAATTATGCGGTGGCACAGAGAGCGCTTCATATAAACACCGCATCCCCTCTGCGTACGTTACCCTTCTAGGCTGCTGACTCTGATGGTGTGTTCGAGCGTGAATATAGAATTTGGGCAATAAAATCGTTATTCCAGTGACCTAAGCCCCATCTTCTCAACTGCTCTCCGCAAGTCTTCCCTTCGTTTTCATCGGCACACGGCTTTATCCTTCCAAAGTCAGAATTAGGCTATGCTTATTGTCCTGGTTGGCAGTTGAAGCGCAGGCAACACAAATCGACGAATGACGGGGCCCGCCTGACAATCTACTTGCTGGCAGCCATGTGCATTAACAGGCAGTCTACAGCTGAAGTCTCTCCAGCGAATCTTAGGTGGGAAACATGCAGCGGCAGACCAGGCGGCAGCAGTAACTTCTGTCATGGTCGGCAACCGATCTAGTAAAAGTCACTTATGAAGTGTGAAAGAGCGAACGTCGCATTCTGTGGGTAAATTCGCCCACCATCGAATGAGGTTTCGCTTGCTATCGACGACAATCATAAACCGCTGCGTTGGTGTATTGAAAAAAAAGATGGGGACTTCCAACATTGAAATAAGGAACGATGGGAAACCTTCCTACTATTGAGTCACCTCACGCATGACCAACTGAACTAAGGACAGGGTAATCATGTTCCTTGGACGACGGAAGGGCTATGTTTCGACCGCTCCATTTCGACTTTCAGAGGGACAATGACCTAGATAGGGGAAAGTCCCTGTCCAATAGCACCACCGTAGGACTTCATCGCCCATGCCAATTTAACTCCTAGTCCTATCCCATCCCTCTAACGTCCACTCAAATTCCAACCTCCGTCGGCGATGGTCTCCTGCTCACAGTAGTAGCTGCAGTAGCAGATAAAACCTCCGGAAGATAGTTAGCGACAGCAGGTCATTTGGATTCAACAAGAACGCCACGGGCGTCGGACAGTCCCATACACTCACGAAGGCCTATTTTGTTCATCAAATATCCGGTGTGCAGTCAATTATATGAATTGCTACTTCGTCCAATGTCCATAGACCATCCACCCGGATTCCCCGGCCCATAGCGTCTGACTGCCTATTGGTTATAGCCCCAATTATACTATGACTCCAAATCGTCGTCTCACGTAGTTGAATTTTACAGTAGTGCGGGATTTTTTCCTGACTCAATCCCCATGGAAACAATGATTGAGCACAAGGCAGTTTGACATTCGTAAGAAGAGGGCTGTCATGTAAAGCGATTCGGTGGCTGTGATGCAGGAGGTTAAAGCCATAACTGGCATTGGTTCCAATAGATCCTATGCTACTTGAAAACCCTCAAACATGTTTATAAAAGAGACTTGTGTAATTTTCGGATGGTCAAAAAGGTAAGGAGGCGAATCGTTTGACTCCCAATGACTACGAGAATGTCATTCTAACAACGATTGAAAATGCCTACTGTCGCAATCAACATAGGAAGAGGGCAGTCAGCAGTGGTCCATAAAGCCGGAGTAGTGCATAAATGGAGAACGCGAAGGGGCAAGCAAAATTTCAAAGTGGGAGACAATCTGCCAGAATTATCAGTCAACAGAATATGTGTTACTGGGCTGCAGATTTGCTCATAGACTACTTCTGTGGAGACCGCGATGGCCAACGGATTCTTTTGGCTTCTACCGACCTTCATCATTACTTCACACAATGGGATAGTTTAAGTCAGTACTATACTACAGAATTCTGAAAAAAGCTGCCATGCAGTCGCTTACTCATTTTACCATGGATCGGAAGCTTCGTCGCTGGTGGAGGGTAAACTGATACAATCGACAATAAAATGACCCGATCGGACAGCCGGAGAATAAAAGCGGATTCTATTAAACAACAATCGGTTTTTGATAAATTGTCTCTGCGGGAAGAGTAACGTGATGGAACATCTGAATGTGGGAGCGGAGGCTTTCCTATGGAAACTCAGTTCTCGATATTCTGCCTTACGGAGAGCCCTTTGATCCAATAATAACCGTTCTTTTGCGCAATTCCCTCTAACGGGTTGTAAATCAAACTATCCGAAAAACTGAGGTTTAGCAAGAACCGGGTCTTATATATAAAGCTATCTTGTCCTAAACCAAGGACGCAGCCTCACCTGCATGACCTTCTCATTTAGCCTTCGTCTCTCCTCGGTCATAAGCCTGGACCTCTCCTGTTCCTCTTCCTGCTGTTTGCGCCTTTCGATCGACGTTTTTGCACTGGATCGCGAGGGTTTTGCTTTTTGCAGTGACAACGATGAACTAGTCGGTCTCATCTTGGGGGAAATTGGCACAGGCCTTCCTGTGTGCCTTTCAACGTCCCCACCTTGTGAAATGCGCTTCGTGCGCCCGGAATCTGAAAAGGGACACGCCTAGTTAATACCAGGTAGACGGAGTTTAATATACGCGGGGGCACCTCTTTGGGCGGTTGCACCTCTAGAGACTGGAGTTAAAAATGGGCTCAAAACCAGTGTAAAATGGGTACAATGAATGAAGCGATATATGCAACAATGATAGAATATAGATACAAGCGTCCTGCTTAACGCCAAATTTAAGCGTTGCACAACTGTCATAACTCCACCTCGGGATCCCTTTCAGTCGTACACTGGAATATAGACCGCCCCTGTACTACAGATGGCCTCGCGCTAAATGCCAGCGGGCACATATTTCTGTGTCCCAAATTAAGCCCTGACCCTAACATTAAACATCTTAACCATAATCCTCCTAGGCTTAACCCAACACTAATCCTAGCCCTCATAACCCTGACACCAACCCCCTGGAATCTAGTACAAGTCCACCTGCAACACACGGGTCCATATTATCCTGCTCAACGTCCATTTATCAAGCAAATATCTGAATTTCTCCATATCGCCAGACAGTTTTCTTCCAAACAACAGCGTCATCCTTCTCTCCCTCCTTAGCAAAACTACCGACCTAATAGTTATCATACTAATTAGTCTTAATCATCAACACCCTCAGTGTAGGCTACTGCATTGTTAACAGTCTCCCGCTGACGTATCCAAACCAGGACAATGCGCAGACCAAATCAGCAAAACATAACACCAGACAACTATCTATATCGTTTTTCCTGTGCTAAAACCAGCTAGCATAATAAAGGGACCTTCTGGCCGCAGTTTTAACAAACTGGTTGCAAACCTCCCCATCGTGATCTCTTAATTGTTGCCGGCGACTGGAACGGCTGGACTATGTTAAACTACTATCCAAACAACCATATTAATGACCGTTGTGGACTTGGTTCCCGATGCGACAGTGTCAAAAAGTTGCTGAGCTTCATCGACGAGGTCTTTGTCATCCGGTGGGAAATGTAAAAATTCGCCAAGAGTCTTTAAGTGCTCAGATCAGTTGAACACCTTTGAACTCACTATTGGTTACAGTGTGCAGCAAGAAAGTATTTGGACGGCAAGGAGTCAGACTAAGATATGCGTCAGAGGATTATTACGGACCATCAATAAAATTCGGTTTTTACTTATCAGAGTTCAAATTTGAACTGTCTATCCGAAATCAATAGCCCAGACCGATTGACTGTCAGTAGATTGGACTTGAACAGGGCACAGTTAGGCAACCGCCCAAACCTGAGAGAAGAGTGTGAATCCCGTATCGGAGTGGCACTTCATGAGAGTAATAGGCTCCAGCGTAGCGACGACTGGCATAAAGAATGGAACAGCGGTCAGCGCCAGCCTTTTCCTCATCAGGGTACTTGTCACACACAGTACTTCACCTGAGCTGTGCATGCCAATCATGTTGATCAGCTTTGGACGGTAGTAGCCGGTGAACACACGTCCTCTGAGAGGACTCGCTAAGCCCTGCTACTGTTCCGTAAAAAAACCGTTGGAGTTTGCCTTCCGTGCACAAAAGTAATACGTTTATGCAGGATTACGGATTAGTATCGCAATGACACTACGTTCTATAACGCCAAAAGGAGCGCGAATCAAGTGAGATTCAGGCGGCATGATTTAGCACTTCTACCGAGAATTCAATGTCGAAGTAAATTTCGCTCCGGTTTAACGTGGACTGCAAGATTTGGATAATTCGCAGTGGTAACCGATGTGATCAGAGGATCTGAGGGATAATCCGTTTATTTTCCTGACGTTTCGATCGTAAGCCTCAAGGTAGATAATCGGGTATGGAGTGATGCTAATGTCTACTTGGGTGACAGGTGCATTATGGAAAGCAGCTGTCGCCCACGACCCCTCCCCCCTTTAAGAGGCTAAGGACAGTCGTTACCGTAGACGACTAACCTATCGTGATCACTGTCAAGATTGTCATTTAGTAGTCCGAAACACACGGTCAAAGCATATTTTAGCGGTGGAGGCTTGGTTGATTTCGTCAGGAAGATAAACATACTGTTTACGTGACCATATTTTGGCATTTACGCCTGCGTGCGCACATTTTTGTCTTAACTGACAGCGTTGTACAATCTGTGCTTTGTCACTGAGCCAACGTCGCTTGGACGTCATGGGCTCTGGAGATTAGAAGGTTTCGCGGGTCTTTTCCATCCTACCGACAAACTCATTACTAACGAAATAAGTAGGAGCATTTTGACTGCACTTTGTAGTAGATATCATTGAGTATGGTCTGACGCGAACGTACAAAGGCCGATTCCACACAATCATTCGTAACTGGAACGAACAAATGGTGCGACCTTAAGAATGGAAGGCAAAGTGATAATATGTTACTCACCACTCTTCTTCAAAATGGAAACGCTGATAGAGGCAGAAGTTACAGCATCTTTGGTGCTGCCCATCTCGGAGGCCGCTTCGCCCCTTCCGCTCTTGGTCAGCGGCCTCCTTCGATGGGAACTCTCCAGGCTGACAGGTTGGGTCCGTGTAACAGTCTCCGGCGGACCCAAGGAGGGCGCTTCACTCGAGCAAACGCTCTGCACCTTCGCGAACTTCATGACGCTTTTTTCTATGCTCCGCTCCTCAAGTTGCATCTGCTCGGCGGTCGATGCGGGGACAGGGACAGGCGAACAGTGCAGCGCCTGCGAGGATTCATCTTCGGCCTCCGATTGCAGCTCATCGGGAGGGAAGCTGACTTCAAAATCTACCAATGACTCCTTAAAGGCCACCCTAGATGCTTGAGGTGGGCGCGCTCCTTCGATTGGCGGTTCCAAGGCCAAGGCCGCATTCAACTCTGCAACGCGGCGTCGGAGCATCTCAGCCTCCTCATCTTCTTCATCCTCACTCAGGACTTCGTACTTAACCTCGGACGGAATAGTGCGCTCGGTTGCCGTCCAGCCCGGAGTTGCTAGCTCATCTGGCCTCGTCGATTCTACTGCTTCTTCTCTCGCTCCATTTGGGACGGATTTGGATCCTTCCCTGACGTCTTCTTCTAAGTCAAAACTGTCCTCGGCCAAAACTCTCATATATTGCTGTTCATCTTTGTAGCTTGAACTTGAATGCTCATCCATACTGGTTAGGCTGGAGAAATTCTCGCGCGGATGGACAACTATGGACGGGGTCTCGGAACTGACTTGATAAACGGGTGAGGAGCTTTTACTAATTTCCTTCCCAACCTCAAGAACAACGCGTTCTGGGGCTGGCGGTTTGTCCTCTTGTGCTGTAGGTAAACGGAAATTCGTTAGTCATAATCTCCTAAGCACCTCATAAGTCACAACTGACGTTCGCTTGGTGGGTGTTCAGGCTGCGCAACGTTAAAACCGTAAGGCGTATCCCACAAATAATACATGCATCAAATAAGGTGACGGTTCGCCGATCCGGTTGCAGAGACGAACATGCTTATTTAGTTTGATTCTGGAGCCCTACACTAAAGTCCCCACTGGCTCTTACCTGGCGACAAGCCGTCATTAATAGAAGTGTTATAAAGATTGGGAAGACTATCGCATTTATGGTTTATCTGCCGTCATCGGCCAAATAACCCTCCGCTACAGGCCGGAATCCCTGAGATTTTAATCGAAAAATTTAGGTTAAAGTGCTCCTCCAGGCAACGGGTCTGGATTTAGCTGGCTGATGACGCCAAGCAAGCCCGAAACGACCGTTTTGGTGCCACTCGCTTTTGTTGACATTCCTTCTACGCATGGGCAGGTATGCACGCAAGAATGCTAGACGAATATAATTTTCCGTCTTGTAGCCGTCAGGAACGTCGTCTTACGCCCACCTCAATTCGTTTGAAGCAAGGAATACTTGCTCAGGCTAT